CTCTATACTGACAGTGTGGAGCCTGCTTGGGATTCTCTGTCTCCCATCTCTTACTGCCCCTTCTCCACTCGTGCTGTCTCTGTTTCTCTCAAAAATAAATAAGAATTTTTAAAAAAAAACTTAGAAAAAAAAAGATTTGGGGGTAGGGGGCATCCAACATTAGTTGTCACCTGAGTTGATAGTGTGGTGGTTGGCAGAATGATGCCCCCTGCCTAGGAGGTCCCCAGTCTCATCCCAGGACCTGTGAATATGTTACATCATACAGCAAAAGGGACTCCCAGTGTTCATCCCAAGTGCCCTCCTTTATACCCGTCACCCATCTATCCCATCTCCCACACACCTTCCATCAACCCTGTTTGTTCTCTATTGTTAAGAGTCTCTTGTGGCTTGTTTCTTTTTCTTCTCTTCCCCCGCTTCCCATGTTTCCCTGTTTTGTTTCTTAAATTCCATATATGATTGAAATCATATGGTATTTTCTTTCTCTCATTGATTTATTTCACTTAGCTCCATCCACTTTGTTACAATTGGCAAGATTTCATTCTTTTTGATGGCTACATTATACACACACACACACCACATCTTCTTTAGCCATTCATCAGTCGATGGACATTTGGGCTCTCTCCATAGTTTGGCTATTGTTAATAATGCTGCCATAAATATTGGGGTGCATATACCCCTTCAAATCTGTAATTTTATATTCTTTGGGTAAATACCTAATAGTTCATAGGTATAGCTCTATTTTTCCAGATCATAGGGTATCTCTATTTTTAACTTTTTGAGGAACCTCCATACTGTTTTCCAGAGCGGCTGCACCAGTTTGCATTCCCAGCAGTGCAAGAGGGTTCCACTTTCTCCGCATCCTCATCAACACCTGTTGTTTCTTGTGTTGTTAATTTTAGCCATTCTGACAGGTGTGAGGTGATATCTCATCATGGTTTTGATTTGTATTTCCCTGATAATAAGTGATGTTCAGCATGTTTTCATGTGTCTGTTAGCCTTCTGGATGTCTTCTTTGGAAAAGTGTCTACTCATATGTATGTTTTGCTCATGACTGGACCAAGCACACCCTGGCTGATGGTGTCCTTAACTGTAGGAGAGGCTCTCTGCCTTTCGCCCTCCTGCACCAGGCCACACCTGTGACTCCTGGACCCTCCAGCAGGTGTGGAGGAGTGGGGCCCAGGTCTCCTCAGCAGGTGGGATCTGCACAACAAGGGGGCGGGCCCATCCTTCCTGCTGCCTGAAGGACCTCTGGAGGCTTCTCCTCTTGAGTGACTCCTGGAAGGCAAGGGTCACAAGACTGGGGTACCTGGCAGAGCCCTCGGGGACTTCACCTGGAGACAAAAATGCAACAGGGTGAGTTCATTGTCAGGCCCTGCTGGTGGCTCCTTGAGCTGCAGTGAGAGCTGGGTGGTCGCAGGGCCAGGTGCTCAGTGACAGCTCATCAGGAGGATGAGCTGAGGGGAGGGGCTGCCGTCCTGAGGAGCCTCTGGTGCCACTGGGTTAGAGTGAAAGCTTCCCCACCACCTCAGGTGATGATGGCCCTGCTCAGAGCCACTGCCCGGATCCCACACTCCCCCTTCGGGAGCCAGTTCACTCCCCAGTTCACTTAGAGCAAAATGATGGCTTCTTTGAACTCCCAGGAACAGAAGCGCCTAGCATGAAACATGCACATGTAGAAACAGCCTGTTGTAGGACAGAGAGGTCACAGTGCAGGGAAGTCCCCTGTGAAGTTCATGTCCAGCTCACTTAATGAGGAGAGGGAGGGGCAAGGCAGCTGGGCACTCAGAGATCCCCTGAGTCTAATGCCACCTCCTACAGATGAGGGGTGGTGGGTTCACAGAGACTAAGGGGCCAGCCAAAGCCACAGGGCCAGTTAGTGACAAGCCTTGGATGAGCACTCAAGCCTTGGTCCCTTTTGCGTGGCCTGGGAGAAGGCAGACGTAGCCATGGACATCACTTGGGCTGGGAGATGATTTTTTTTTCTGACCACAGGGCTCAAACTTCGTATGTGAATGAGGCACAGACATGGGCCTGCTTGACCTGTGAAACCCTTTTCTAACCTGGAAGCCCAGCATCTTCCACCTTAGCAGTGACTATTCAGATCAGGACTGGGTGGCTGGCTGTTATTTCCTCTAATAACTGACACCCGGGAGCCGTGGTACAGGGACACCTGGGACCAGATCAGGCTGCAGGTCCAAATGGGGACTGACTGTAGCAAATTTGCAGTTTCACTGCCTCAGAAAAATTTTTGGGAGGTGAGCTCCCACTACACCACTATGCAGGTGTTTGGATTCAGGCCCTGGATGCACAGGAGTGGAGCACCTTATCTAACCAAGACCTCCTGAAGGAACATGAACAGAGCATAGTGGTTTATGCAGGTCTGGGCTGCCAGGGAGCTGGAACAGGGCAAGAGTCTGCAGATTGCAGGTCACAGGAGATAGCTTTGGGGGAACAAGGGGTACGCCCATTGACAAGCCCTAGGATGGACAAATGTGCCCATTTCCCCTGTAGGCAGAGCTGGAGGATAGTGGACTTCTTAATGTGAGGCAGGAATCCTCTTATTGGTGAATCCTCCAATAAGAGACACCTGGAACCTTAACAGGACCGACTGTCACCAATTTACAACTGCTGCCTGAGTGATTTGGGTGGCTGGGCTTCCTCCACCCTATAGACCATGCAGTCATTTGGAGCCAGGCATCAACTCCCCAGGCCTGGAGGTCCCCAGTGTCCAAGACCTGCTGAAGGAGTGTATACTGGGCATTAGGGCTGGCAGGGATCTGGAACAGGCAAGGGTCTATAGAGGCCAGGTCTCAGGATCCAGCTCTTGCAAGGCCAAGAGTGTGCCTAACTGCAAGCTCTACTCTCCACACATGTGCATATTACCGCTGAAGGCTGGGATGGAAGAAATTGTACTGCATTGCCAGCATCAGCGCAGCCAGTTAGCTGGGTCATCCTTTATTAAGGCATACCAGGGAGACTTGATTACTGTAGGTAAGCCCAGGACACCATCAGGCAGCCAGTCCAAATGGGTACTGACAGTCTCCAGTTTAAAGCTGCCATCTCAGGAAGATTTTTAGGAAATGAGCACTGTCCACCCTGAATGATATGCAAGTTTTGGGAACCAGCTTCGGCCCAACAGACCTGGAGGGCCCCAAGAGCTAAAGGACAGCTGACAGAATACATGCTACACATGCATGGGTGGCACAGGTCAGGGGAGTCCGGGATCTGAACCAGGGCATCTGTAGGGAGAGGCTAGGTTCCATTAGCGAGTTACTTGGGGGACCTGACCACTGCCTAATTCTAAGTGCTAATTTGCACAAATGTGCATATTCCCCCTGATGACACAACTGGAGGAATATGGACTGCCTTCTCATGGCAGTGTGAAATGGATTGAGATACCTTCTGGTAACAGCTGATAGCCTTGATTACTGGTAAGCCTGGGACCCCATCAGGCAGCCAGTCCAAGTGGGGGGTAACTGTGTCAGTTTAAAGGTGCCATTTCAGAAAGATTTTCAGGCAGTGGGCACTGCCCACTGTGGGGGTTCTACAGGTTGAGAAGACTGGCCTGAGCCCAACAGGCCTGGAGGGCACAGCAGCCAAACTCTACTGGCTGACACAGTGCAGACACTCTTGGAGCACACTACTTGTCTCTCCTGGTTTAGTGTCTGAGAGGGCTGACTGAACTCCTATATCCTCTCATATCTTTACTAGCTAGACCTAACTGGCCCCGTCTGCATGTCTCCATACTTACTACCTGTATCATTTCACATATGCTTCTTGGATTTAAGGACCCTTTGGGTCTTCTTTCTCACCTCCTTCTGCTTTTTCTTCCTCCTCACCTGCTTACCTGATTCTGTCCACTCATCATTTGCTCTCTGTCAGCCTACCCACACCCATCTACTCAGTGCTTGCTGTGTGCCAGGCAGTAGGATGGGCACTAAGTATACTGAGGTCTTTAGGAATACTTGTTTACCATTATTTTTTATTTTTATTTATTTGTTTATTTTTCTTTAGGTGAGTCATCTGAACAGGAATAATCTTTTTTAAAATTTATTTATTGTTTAATTTACATCCAAGTTAGTTAGCATGTGGTGCTACAATGATTTCAGGAGTAGATTCCTTAATGCCCCTTACCATTTAGACCATCCCTCCTCCCACAACCCCTCCAGCAAACATCTGTTTGTTCTCTGTTTTTAAGAGTATCTTAGGTTTTGTCACTCTCCCTGTTTTTATATTACTTTTGCTTCCTGTCCCTTATGTTCATCTGTTTTGTATCTTAAATTCCTCATAAGAGTGAAGTCATATATTTGTCTTTCTCTGGATAATTTCGCTTAGCACAATACCCTCCAGTTCCAAGCCATATGATATTTGTCTTTCTCTATTTCCCTTAGCATAATACCCTCCAGTTCCATCCATGTAGTTGCAAATGGCAAGATTTCATTCTTTTTGATTGCCAAGTAATACTCCATTGTATATATATACAACATCTTCTTTATTCACTCACCCGTCGATGGACATTTGGGCTCTTTCCATACTTTGGCTATTGTCACTAGCGCTGCTAGCCACATTGGGGTGCATGTGCCCATTCAAACCGGCACACCTGTATCCCTTGGATAAACACCCAGTAGTGCAATTGCTGGGTTGTAGGGTAGTTCTATTTTTAATTTTTTGAGGAACCTCTTTTCCATTTTCCAGAGTGGCTGTACCAGTTTGCATTCCCATCAGCAGCACAAAAGAGATTCTCTTTCTCCACATCCTCGCCAACATCTGTTGTTGCCTGAGCTGTTAATGTTAACCATTCTGACAGGTGTGAGGTGGTATCTCATTGTGGTTTTGATTTGTATTTCCCTGATGATGAGTGATGTAGAGCATATTTTCATGTGTCAGTTAGCCATCTTGTTTACCGTTATTTTAAACAGCCAACTTGGGTGTCTAGGCTTTATACTGGTAACTAACACTAGTTGAATTTAAGGTAGAAAATTACTAACAGTTTTGGTTAGTTGAAATTAGTTATTTTGATTGAAGTGTGATTTAATCAATGGTGAAGATAGAATGATACTTTGATAGAACTTGTGTGGAGAGAACATCTATTTCTATTTTTGTCAACTGATTTTGAAATAGCAATGGTAATATAGTAACTGGGTTTCTAAATACAAATTTATTGGCAATAAAAGAAGAGATAAAGGAAATAGAAAATTGTACTACTCTGTTCATCCCTGCTTTTGCATTATAAGTAATAATCTAATGTTAATAAAATTTAGCATTAAGGGACCATTAGGAAGAACCAAGTATTGCCTGTGACCTGATAGCTATACGATACAATTTTAGTGACTGAAAACATTCTAAGTTTTGGGGCACCTGGGTGGCTCAGTCAGTTAAGTGTCTGACTCTTGGTTTTGGCTCAGGTCATGATCTCTCAGTTCATGAGTTTGAGCCCAGTGCAGGCTCTATGCTGACAGCTTGTACCCTGCTTGGGATTCTCTCTCTATCATTCTCTCTCTACCTTTCCTGTGCTCTCTTTTTCTCTCTCAGAATAAATAAACTTTAAAAATTGTTTAATAAAAATATCCTGTCTTTTTTATATTAGAAGTATAAATATGTGGCAAATATGACTTCTTATTTGAAATGAGTGAAAGGTGAAACAAAACGGGGTGATTTATGTCAAGGGATTTTAAAATGGAGCCAGGAGGCCATTAAGGAGGTGGGCCTTATTAATGTCCTCAGTGGGTGGACCATGAACCTTTGAACAGAACCAAACTATGAATACTCCAGGGATTCTTCAGAAACACCTGCAACTTGCAAACGTAATGGACTTTTGCTCAGTGATGGTCTTAATTCTGTTTAGCTGAGATTAGTTTTCTGCCAGCAATACCAATCACAATTATTTGTAAAAAACATATGCAAGCATTTCCTTTTGTCTTTAAGAGCCCTTAACTTTTGTTCCCTAAAGGGACACAATTTGGGTTGCTACCTGAAACTGTGTTTCAAATTGCAATTATAAGACCCTAAATAAATGTTTCTGTTTTACTTCAGTTCTGTCTCTTTTCTCAGTTGACAAATGGTAGTTACTAAAGCAAGATATTATTACATCCAAATTATAAGAATAAATAATGATAGTTATTGAATGCTGTAAGAGGACGCTGACCATTCTGGAGAATTGTTACCCTTCGACATCTCCACTATGGGTGGGGGCAAGGGAAAGTGTATGTCTTCCCTGTTTCCAAGGGACACCATCCTTGGAGGTGTTGATTAGATAGGAAAGTAGCTGCCATGCTTCTGTGATCCAGTCAGTGTCCACATCCCCTGGACCCACTGGAAGTTTTATTATCTG